GGAGTGGCCAGGCGGGTCACCCTTAAAGGGCCCGCGCGGCCTGAGAGTCCTGGGAGAGGCTCTGTTACCATGGCAATACCCTTGTCCTCCCGCCCCCAATGGCTCCTCATTACCCCACTGGTACTTCCAATGCTAGGCTGGCTAAAGGCAGTAGAAGAGTGGGGAGGAGTCAGAGAAGTTCCCCCATGGGTCACTGACAGGTCACTGAGGACTCCACCGGCCAATTTTTAGCCTCCAGTCCCCTGCCCCCAATCAGCTGCCTTCCAACCACAAGTTCACGCTCTTCTTCCCTATCATCCACACTGGACTTCAGCACCTCCATGCCCCTAGACCTGCCCTAGGTCCCCAGTGCTAAGTCCCCTTCTCCACCCAGCCCCCAGTACCATAGCTTCCAAGACTATCCCATCAAACCACATCAGGGGCCTGTCTTCTCCCATCCACCACACATCCACATATCCATCCACCTATCTCCCCACCCATTCATCCACGTGTTCAATGGATCAACCCCTCAACTACCCATTTGATCAAAGACTCATGTATCCATCCACCCCTCCGACAGCCTATTCATCCAGCCACACACCCACTCAACCCACCTATCCATTTCCCATCTACCTGCCCATTCACCCACCACCCATTTATCCATATAACCAAGCAAATACCCATTTATCTATACAACCAAGCAAGTACCCAATCATCCCCATATACATTCTCCCATCCAGTTACCCAAATATACATCCACCAATTGCATGTTTTGTTTATTTGTTCTCTCTAGTAGCATATAAACTCTCTGAGGCCAAGAATCCTGTCTGTCTAGTTCATTATTGTTTCCCCATTACCAAGCTCAGAATCTCAGGAGACCTCAACAAATGTACATACGATATATATAATCACGAAATTCAAATATTTATTTCCTAGTATGAGCCAGGGCTTCCATACCCATTCTGGTTAACAATCTACCCAATTGCTCACTTACCAGGTCAAACATCCAGCAAATGCTAACCTACCTAGTATCTGCCTCTTGCTCCCTCTACTCTACCTCTCACCCATCCACCCCCCCATGATTGAAATTACTCATGTTCCCAATCATTCACCCACAGAGTTCAACCATCTCCACACCTGCCTACCCTTCATTTATCCACTCCCAGACCCATGTCCTCCATGTCATGAGGCAGTTGGCTGGGATTTTGGAGCCTAGGCAGATTTATCTGGGGCCTGGGTGTTGTGTGTGTGGGGGTGGGGTCAGATCAAAGCCTGGAATGGTGGGATCCGTGCTTCATTGAGAAGCAGGTGCTGCCCAGAACAACGATGAGCACCTAATATTGAACATCTTTAACTATGTGTCTTCCGCTGTGTAGGGAACTTTAGATCCATTCTGCAGATGAGAAAATTGAGGCTCTTAGAGAGTGAAGACCTAAGATCACACAGTTGGTGAGAATCTGCTTCTATCACCCTTTCCAAGAAATTTTTAATTAGGGCAGAATTTGTGAGAGTTGAAGGGGGGTTGGGGGCAAATTCCTAAAAACTGGTAATTCTTAGAGGGTAAAGAAACCACCGATTTTACTGAAATCAAGATTTTACTGGGCAACTTCATAGTGCTGGAGTGGTTGGCACCTACAGCTCCACTCCCCACTGTAGGCTCCACAGAGCTAAGGCAAGGCCAGACACCACCCTAAGATGGCTCGCTCTTTCTGATTCCAGACCATGTGGTGTGGAATGGGCAGCTCAGGTGGTATTTCCATTGAGGCAGGATGTTCTGAGGGGCAGGGGCTGGCTCCGGGACCCCAGCGTCCTTGGAAGAAGCTGCAGGTTCTGGACAGCATCCCTCAGCTGTGCCTGAGTATGCTCCATCTCTGTCAGGCGGTGCTCCTGGGGAGGCAGCAGCAGTGGGCTGGGTGTGGGCTCAGAGCCAGGGGAGGGCTGCACCCCAACCCTCGCTCCTCCACCGCTCAGGCCTGCCCCAGGGCTCAGACAAGAGTCTCACCAGACTTTTCAGATTGTGCCCTTCACTCTTTGGAAGATCTTGCTCTGGATTCAATTGTGAGATCCTGTGGGGGTCAGGGACAAGGGGGAAAGGTCAGAGGCTGAGGAAGTCCCTTCCAGCTCCAGGTAGGAGAGCCAGGGATTCAGAGGGCAGAGCTCGGATATACCCGGAAAAGGGTCAGATCAGAGCCCGGAAAAATTGGGATGAAATGCCCCATCAATCCACCCTTGGAGGGTGGGGCTTGGTCCGTCGTGGGTGGGGTCACGACTGGGAGAGGGAACCCCCAGACTGAGATATCTCAGTGCCGATCCAACCAGGTTGAGAGGGGCAGACTAAGGGGGTTGGAGATCGGATGAGAGAATCTGCCAGGGTCCTGCGTGGGGTGGTCCACCAGAGGGCAGGGCTTACAAGGGGGCGGGACCTGGACTACTTGTTGGGGGCGGGGCTAACACGGGGGCGTGGTCGTGCCTGGCGGGACTGACAGAGAGGCAGGGCCTGAATGAAAGCGGGGCCTGGGCAGATCTAATTGGAGCAAGCCCACCTGGGGGCGGAATTAATGGCGAGGGCGGGGCTCACCCAGCGCTGAGTCTGGAGTCCAGATCCCGCAGCTGGCCCCGCAGCTGCTCCTGCTGCTCCGTCAAGGCCTGGATGAGGGTGCTCAGAGACTCCACGAGGCGGGACAGCGCTTTCTGCTCCTCGCGCAGCGCGGCCACCTCGCACTGCAGCTCTGCCAGCTGTGGAGGGAGAGCAGCTGTAATCTGACCCGTCGTCCCGCCCTTTCGTCTCCCTGGAGACCCTGACCTCCCAGGCCCAAGCGTTCAGCCTCATCTCCACCCCGCGCTGTTGGGGAACATTGCTCCTGTTGTACCGAGGGCGAAACTGAAGTCCAGAGAGGGTGAAGGCTAGGCCCGGGGCCACATAGCGCAGTGAGGTCGGTACTGGAACTGAGACTTGTCTGGCCCGCCAGTCTTCTCCCAGTCCGGTCCCCATCCGCCTCCCGCCGCCACTCACCCCTCCCGCTGGCGCGGACTTGGGCCTGACCTCACCTTGCTCACGGGTCGATGCGTGCCCTGCGCCTGGTCTCGGTTCCGCGGCTGGTCCAGTTGGCGCTGCCAGGGCACCGACGGCTTCCGAGGCAGCGAGGCGGAGGCCCCGGTCCAGGGCCGGCCGCGGGGCGCGGGACCCGTACGCAGGGAGCCTTTGGGTCGCGGCCGGGGCCCCGAAGACTGGCGACGGCGGGCGGGGCGCCCGACGGGGACGCTCTGCGTGCGTTGCACCGGCCTGGGCAGCCGAGCGGGCCGCTCTTCGTCGGCCCGTGGCCGGGCCCAGCTCGCGGAGCGGTGAACACTGCGCAGAGACTGACTCTTGGAGATGAGAGGGGTGTGCTTGGGGAGGTCCCGGGGGGCCAGGAAGCCGGGCTTCTCCCCTGCGGAGAAGCTGAGGATGGGATGGAGGCGCTCAGACTCTCCACTTGGCCCTGGATGACACCAGCCTGACCTCTGACCAGAAGTGACCTCACCCCTGATCTTTTCCTTCCATGTAACCCTGTCCTTGATGGGATCACATTTTGACCTCTGACCCTGATGAGACCCCGTCCTTGATTTCTGACAATACCGACCTCTCTGTGATCCTTGACTCCAATCTAACCAGTCTCTGATCTCTAATATGGTGTGACCCTTGACCAGACCCTTTCTGTAACATCTGATTCCAGGCCGATTCTGGGATTGGCCTCTAACCCAAGTCTTAGTGCCACTCCTGCTCCCACCCATTAGAACCCAGGCCATACTTCAGGTTACCTGGTGTGGACCTGGGTAGGGGGAGGTGGGAGACGCATTGGCACAGACACAGGTACAGGCCGGCCCTCCTCGATGGCTCGAAGGATTGTGGGCAGCGGCTCCAGGCTGTCCCGGGTTGTCTGGTGAGGCAGGCGAGAAGGATCCTGAGCAAGCTCTCTAGAGCCAGAGCCTGCCAGCCTCCTCGCCTCCCCACTCTGTTTCCTGGGTTTAGGCCAGCTCTGGGTTTAGGCCACACCTGGTCAAGCTCGGCAAAGATCGTGCAGAGCTGTGCATGCAGGACAGCCAGCTGAAGGGCCAGGTCGCCACTGCCCTGGTAACCGCTGGGGGCGGCATCTACATCCACCACGGCCACCTGGTCCAGGAAGCATTGCATGGCTGGTCCATGTTCCTCCAGGAAGCTGTTCATGAAGCCCATGTAGGCCTCCTTCTCACCGAACCTGTGTTGGGGCCAGGCTGGGTGGGTCATGTCAGGCACCCACCACCCCCACACCCCCAGCATGGTTCCCCAACTGCCCAGAACCTACGGGGCACGGTTGGCAAGGTTCTGGATGACCTTGGCAATCAGTGTGAGGGTGCGGGCTGGGCCAGGGGCTGGATGCTCTGATGCCAGGCCAAAGAGGCTGGGTGCTAGGATGGCGGGGCACAGGAGCCGCAGGAAGAGGGAGGCACACACCAGTCGGGAGCCCAGTGCTTCAGAGCCCCGCTCTTTGCATGCTTCTCGCCAGCCTGAGAACACGACGCCCAGCTCTGCAGGGAACCAGCTGGGACAGAAGAGGCAGTGGTCAAGGTGGGGAGGAGGCCATGGGCATAAAGGTCAAGATCTTAAGGTCAGGGGTCAGGAGTCCAGGAAGCATTGCACGATTGGTCCATGATCTCCTGGAAAGCTATTCATGAAGCCCTTGTAGGCCTCATTCTCACTGAAGCTGGGATCTGGATTCCAGGATGGGGAACATCTGAGATAATGATGCTTGGGGTTATGGGTCTGCTTGGGGATCATGGTTTATGGTGCAGTTATGATGATCTCTGGAGACAATGCTCTTAGAGTTGGGGGTACCGGGTCACGTGGAGACAGAGGTCATGGGCTTGGGATGTAGGTATTATTGAACATGAGACTGGAATGCAGAATACTTGATAAGAAGTAAGATTGGGGTTACAGGATTACCTAGGGTCAGAAATCACTGGACTGAAGTCAGAGATTAAGCCTGAGGGTAAAGCTAAAATCAGAGGTTCAGGGATTGGAATCCCAAGTTTCCTGTGATCAGCTGTGTAAGGTTTGAGGTAGAGAGTCACTGAAGGTCCAGGGTCATGGGATTGAGGGTATGGTATCATCTGGAAGCAGAGGCCACAAGATTGAGGTTTTGAGTTAACTAGGGTTAGTGGCATGGAATTGGGATATGGAATCACTTATAGCTAGAAGACAAGGAAATGGGACTCCAAGTTACTTGGGGTCAGGTGGCAAAGCATTGAGGGTAGGGTTTCCAGATGTAGCAAACAAAACTTCAGGGCACCCACTTAAATTTGAATTTCAGATACACGAGTAATTTTTGTTTATTTACTTAATTTTTAACTGAGACAAGGTCTCACGTTGTTGCCCAGGCTAGTCTCCAACTCCTGGCCTCAAGTGATTCTCCCACTTGAGCCTCCCTCCTAAAGCATTGGGATTACAGGCATGAACAACCATACCCAGCCCCAAATGAGTAATTTTTCATGTATAAGTATGTCTTAGATATTGCATCAAATTTAACTAAGCGTCCTGAATTTTTATCTGGCAACCCTAATTGGGTGTTAAGTTTAGCATGGGTAGGCAGGGGCAGGCTTAGGGGCTGGGGCCCTGATTCTTACTCGTAGGAGTGGATGATGGTTTCGAAGACCTCCTCACAGCTGTTTCGAAGTCTGGCCTGGTGCTCGGGCAGCTCTGGGGCAGAGCACTTGCTGGGGTCCACCTCACAGTCTTCAGTGGAGGCACAGAGACGCCGCACAATCTGCCCTGCAGCCCAGCACAGCCAGATAGGGGCTGGGGCCATGGCCACTAAACCGACCACACCCAGCCTCCAACTCTATCTCTCCAGAGGCACTTAACATCTCAAAGAGCTCCCAATTCCCCCCAGGATCCCAGAACCCCCAAAGCACCACCCACTACCAGAATCCAGGTTACCCAAGCACTCCTAGAATTTCTTCCAGGTCCCTTAGCCCACCCAGCAGCACTCTGACATCCACTTCTCCCATCTCACCCAGGGTTTCCTGCAGGTAATCCTGTGCCACCAGCTTCATGTACTCATCTATGGCCTTGGTGGCCAATGTGTTTTCCCGGAACAGCAGCGCTTCACGGCCTCCACAGCGGGCCAGCTCTGCGGTGCCCAGATCTGTCACCAGTGCCTGGGCAGAGCAGGGGTCACATTGCAGAGGGCTCAGACTGAGTCGGGGTAATTCTGGCCCTTGGCCTGTCCTTCACACCGGGGCACAGGCCCAGCCTTCGTTGCTGGGGCCCATAACTGAGGCCGGAACATTTACCTCTCACAAAAGAAACTTGGCACTGAGATTCAGCTTAGGCTCCGCCCTTGGAAGGGCCCAGACCCTCGCGGGCGAAGCTCATGCCCCGCCCTTCAAGGTGTCGCGTCTCTACAGATGCAGCTCGGGCCCCGCCCCTCACAGCCGCTGCTCAGGCCCTGCCTTTCAAGGTGGCTTGCCCCACGCAGACCAAGCCCAGGCCCCGCCCCTCGAGGGGCCCCGCCCCTTATAGATGCAGCTCAGGCCCCGCCTCCCAACTCCCACCCGGAGCGCGCTGTCGCTCCGCCCCTGAGTGCTCCGGTACGCGCCGTCGCGGCGCCTCACCTGCGCCCGGCCGGTGGCCCGCAGTACGCGCACCATGGCGGCTGCTAGCTCCTCCTTGGCCTGCGCAGGCAGCGCGGGCTCCAGAGCCCGGCACAGGCGCGAGTAGTGGAAGGTGAGAAACTCGGCCAGCTCCTTGTAG